TTTTTTTTTTTTTTTTTTTTTTTTTTTTTTTTTTTAAGTTTATCCCTCTGATGAGACCAATTTCCTGTTTTATTAGGAACACTATATATAGGTACAATAACCTAATTTTCAAAAATCCATAGGGCTGATTTTCTTAAGGAGGTCATCCTGACTGTGTAACCACTTGTGTATTCTCTAGATTCATTCCATATTGTTAGCTTTTCCTTCCCGCTTCTCAAACTGACAGGCAATTCTGTATTTTATACAGTTCTACATAACAGAAATTCTACTAATTCCATTTTATATAAAATTCCATATATGGAACATATACAGACACTTCTCACATTTATTCTTCAATCAACCTGTCATTTATTTTTATTCCCGCTTTTCAGCTTTCAAATTTTGAAAGTTAACCAGAACACGGGAAGGAAAGATAAGCAGACAAAAAGTTTTGTTTACACAGTATAAAATAAATAATTATGTGATGTATGAACAGGAAAGCATTTCAAAGTTTGGCATATTGTTTCATAAATGTGGGTTGTATCAGCTGCTTTACAAGTGTAAGAACAAGATCTTTCATGTTGCTCCAATTAAACTGGATCCGCTATTATCTGAACATCAAAGCCACAAGTGTTGCATCCACAGTGGTTTTTCAAGATCTTTTCACTTACAGTAGAAGTGCTTTAACAGTGAACTCTCAGACAGAGGAGACACAGCAGCTTTGTTATACCAAGCATGGATACCTCAGATTGTTCTCTCTGCAGTATTAAGCAGTTATCAAAATGACAAAACACCATGGGGGGGCACCCCATTTCTTTCACAGGTACCTATTAAAGGTGTCTATTAATTGTACATTTAACTCACATAGGATTCAGTTAGGTCAAGCATAAGTGGCTACTGTACAACCATGCCTTAGTTGTTGTGTTGTATGCTCCTATATAGATCAGGAGGATCTCTGGAAGATTATTCTACTAGTGTTGGCGCAGCAGTTGGCTAAGGCACTCTGGCACTCTTGCAAAAAAACATACTGAAGGATATGAAAGATTTTCTCTTGAAGCCCATTACATCCCTAATAGTCTGCAACCTTACAACAAGTTCTTGGTCCCAATGAAAAAGAATCTGATTAAAGATCTTTGGCCAAACTACTGGAATGTGACTTTTGGTAAAATATAGTCAGGAACTTACTTCCCAATTCCTCCTTCTTCCATCAGAAGAGCTCGTCTGTCCTTATCTACTGTGAGATTGAGCAAGACTCCACAGGCAGAAAAACAGACATCTTGATTCTTGGCATCAAGTAAAGCAATCACGAACTTGTGTACTGGGTTGTAAAGAAAAAAAGCAGCATTACTGAGAAGATAATCATGCAAATGGCAGTACGCACAGTCAGAAAACACTCAAAAGCAGGATATCCAACCCAGAATTGTAACCCTGTAGCACAGTAGTGTGAAGTTACTGCATTTGGTTTATAGAACAGGATCAGAGTCATTAGCGCAAGCTCAACACGAGATACTTCAACACAACACCTACCAAATTCTACACCAAAGTATTGTGAAAATCAAGTCAGAAGGTTGACCAAGCTGAATTGCAGGTTACTTCTTAAAAGTATCAGTCTCACGTCAATCACACAGTCAGCATAAACCGCTAGGATTTAGCATTGGCACTCACAGAAGGAAGTTCCATGCAAGGCAGCGTTGCCTCACACTGCATCAGATCCAGCTGGGACTGCTGCAGCCTGGGGCTCCTGCAGGAAGCAGATGCTGGGCATGCAGCATCTCGCAGCACTTGTTGAATCTAAACTCAATAAGCAGTGGAAGGCAACTTCAACCAGAGAGTCAGCCCTGTCTAGAGTAAAGGCAGACTCCCAGCTCCTCCTGAACCTGGCATGCTGACACCATGCTCTCGCCAAGATGTAAAATTCTGAGACAGCTCGTTAGCAAGCAGCTACTAAGTGTCAGCTCTTCCTTTGCAGATACCTTCACCTCCACAAACCTTTATATATTCATCCTTGAAAGAATTACTGCTGCAAATCACCACACTTTGAGCACTGATAGGTAGATAGGAAAATATTTTCAGTGAATTGTTTTTTAATTAAACTGATTTTGCACCTTCTCTGGATAGCAAGGAGCTGCCATTTTTTTCCCCAAAGCTCTTCAGGCACCAAAGCAAAAGGACTTGAGAAGACTTGTATTCCACTTCACCCAGGGGCAAAGAGGAAGCCTCTTTGCTGAGGCAAACATCTTAACTGCATATTACAAAGCACTAACAAGCTGTTGAACATGGGAATCAAAAGACTATGAAGCTAAATGAGAGTTAAGTTGGATATTCATTTTATATCAAATCATTACAAACCTGTATGACTTCAGGAAATGAAGGAGTGAAGGGAAATTCAAAATCATAATCTTTAGGGAAAACAGAGGGGTTTTTTTGTAGTATCTGCCTTTGTGAAGGTAGACCATGGCACATTTTTCCTACTCCAATACTTCTGTCTTAATGAAACTGAAATAAAATGGTCTTTATAATGACTACTGCTGGATTGTAAGATTGGCACGATATGCAAGCCTTCAGATAAGACTGCTTCTGCCCTTTAAGTGAGACAGCTCATTAATAAGCTTTTTCTTTTTAGAACTGTGGACATTTAAAAACAGGACTCCTACAAATGCGAAACTCACTCTTTTTCTGTACGATGAAGTCACAGATCTCATGATACTGGGAAAGATTGCCAAAGACTCTGACAGCTTCCACAACTCCATCCATATTGTTGCTCATTAACAGCTTCAAAAGCACTACAGATTTGCAGAGAAATAAAAGCAATTAGTTGTATATCAGAAATGCGCTTGGCTTTTTATCGATAAATATCAGAATGCAAGAAGTAACAGCAATACACGTAATAAATGGGCACATCTATCTAACAGTCTGGTTGCAGTGAAGGGGATGAGCAGATGGTAGAAGAAGAGCTAGATTGTGTAAGGCTTTGAAGATGAGACAAAGAGCTCCAATATGGGACTAAATGCAAAGGAACAGATGAGGAGTTATGAAGATAGCCTAAGAACAGTTGTAATAATGGGAACCGATCTTGCTGTACAGTTTTGAGTGGGCTCATGTGACAATCCAGAAAGACAGAACAAAAAATGCTGTAATATTTAAGAAAACTGATTTAGATCCTGAACAGATGGTCTTATGGTGGGATGCCTCTTTAAACAAAAATTATTTTCTGACATTAGCTGTATTTTCAGTCAGCGCTGCACCAACAAGCAAATACATTTTCTCTGAATAGCTACTTAATATCACCCCGGTTTGAAACATTTATTTGCTTGCTGCTTTCCTGCTTAGCAGATTCACTTGTAATTAGCATCAATCTTCAGCAGATAGAATGAGACCCTCAGCACTTCCTAGGAAGAGTTACCGTCGTTTAGATTTTTGGGATGTGGCAAAGGAATGACGCTACAGAAAGTGCATTTATCAGTCTTCTGTGAGGAAGAAGTGAATCACCGAAATCAGTGCACCACATAAAAGGACTCAGATCGGGGAACCATTAACCCTTCCACCACAGAAAAGTGAGAAATACAAAATGAGAAAAGAGGTTGGCTTTATTCCCATTATTTCCTTCTTGGAGCGTTACAATACTGAACATGCCTTGGACATGCCTTAAAGAGACAACAGAAATGATTTTATTTTTTGCGTGTGCATCTTTGGGATCCACACACTTGTATCAAACAGCAAATATTCTCAAAATGTCTCCTGAAGGAAGGGTGCTGGTCTCGTGTTAAAAGGTTTCATCTCTCCTCATTTCTCACAGAGGAAAGGCAATGGGACTGCTTCCCCATTCTAACAATAAAAACAGGAGAGGGAGAGCAGATAGGACTGAAAGAGAAGTCATTTGTTTCCACATTTCTCTGACTAGCATTAAGAGAGAGCTAGCTTATGGGAAATAAAATCACTCATGACAGAATAGCAGAACTGTTAACCTAGAGAGGAAACTGTGTCTAGTAGTCAGGGCACTACGTGGACAGACATAATACTTTCTCCTACTCCTCATTCTGCCCTTTGCATAAATTTCAGACTCTGCCTTTCCTCCATATCTTGTCTATTTAGATTGTAACATTTGCAAGACTTGTTGTATAACAACAGCCTTTTCTGTATGATTAATACAATAAATCCCAGCACTCACATGCAGCTCCTTCACATCACTAAAATATGACTGTTGTCCATACTGACAGAGGGGAGTGAACCACGTAAGCAGATTTATAATCCAGCCCTATACTGGCAACAGATTTATAATCCAGAAACAAAACAGTTTCAGATAACAAATCTTGCAGGTCTAGAAGGTAGCAATTATTATTTTGGCATGAATGAGTCTCGCAAAAGCTGCTAAAGAGAAAACATCACAGCAAATTCATTTGGGGAGTAAAAGAAGGGGTTTTGTCACAACCTAAATATTTTCACACAAGTTACATGATTATGTCCAAAAGAATTAGAAATCCCTATGGGAATAATTTAGCCCTATCATCTGCATATTCCTGCAATATAATGCCACAATATCCTATCAGCGTCTTCATTTTCTGTAGCGAAAAAGCATAGCATGCATAACTTTCACTTTCAAAAGGCACTCTTTAGAAGCCCTTACTTTCAGCAATGCGTAGCTTCTTGTCTTGAACTGCAGAACTCTTCACTTTGTAGAAGGATAAATTGTTGATTGTTGTTGCAGCATTGATCACCAACTCCTCGCAGACATCAATTGACTTATATTCTAATGTACATAAAGAAAGCATACATACATATACTGACACATAACTTAGAAGCACAGCTCAGAGGTGAACTGAATTGCAGTTAACGTGGTCACTACTAAAGATCATTTTTATTTTTCACTAAAAGGGTAGAGGCTAACAGGAATAGCTGATGCAGAAGTGGCAATACAAAGTCACGCTTTCTGACTTCATCTATAGAAATGATTGTGACTAACATGACATGATGTAAAATCTAGTTAAAACATATTACAGATCCTACTTACTGCACTGAGATGGGGCTGAGGAGGATTTGCATGCAGAAACAGGCCTGTATTACAGTTATCAGACTGCTGACAAAGAGAACAAAGACTACTACTAAGCTACTATGACACATTAAAATTAAAAAAGTAGTCTTTAACAGTATCTGAGACATTCTCTCTCTTAAAGAACTCCTGACAATATCACTGATGTGCAATTTCCTCTTATGCTAGCAAGTCTGAATTTTTCTGAGGTTTCTGCCCTCAGAAACCAAGGGTGAAGGAAATAAAATTTTGTGGTAAACTGATAGAGCACTCATGAAAAGAAGAGAGGGTCAGAGAGAAGCTTTAAAGCTCAAAGGTGCTTACACAGTTATTAGGACAGTTCCAACCCTGGTAGCTCCTACAGGGCTTAAGACAGAGCGGATGAATTTGAGAGTCTTCTTGTCTCTAAATGCCAGTTGTAGATAAGACTGGTAAATTAGTATATAAACAGGCTGACTGTGTTTATGTAGTCTTACTATTCTCATCACACGCTAAAATATATTGAGTTATTTGAAATATATTTCCTCACTGCTGAACTATGTTAGTGGGAGAACAGTCTGCCCAGTTCTAGCCTGCATTTAGATTCACAAAGGGATCAGTAAGTGGTAAATCCAACCCCAGAACAGCGACAAAAATGGTGAATGTTAAAAATAAGTAGAACAGTGGATCTTCTTATAAGTGAAGTCTCATAGGCAGACATACTTAAAATTCTAATTTGCTTCTCTTTAGTGATCAAGTCTGTGAAACTTACCACCGAATGAAGCACTTCTACAACTTCTTTGCACAGACACTGAAAAGTCAAAGCTTTCACTGTCTCAAACAGCATTTTATATAATACAGTTTATGAATACCAGAAAATTGACTTATTTTAGCAACAGAATCCACTTAGGTATGGCTCAATCTAGATAAAAAGCTTAAGCAGAAAAATCCTAAACTCTTCCTGCAGATCAAATGAAGATAACACATGCAACATAGGTTTTATTACCTAGTACTGTAACAAGTAATTCTACAACACGATGGGCAGCTGCCAGAGCTTCTCCTACACTGGGATGAATGGACAGATTGGCCAGCACTCGTATCAGTTTTATCAGAACATCTTCTGCTTTGGAAGGATGCTTTGGATTTTTTTTTTCTTCCCTTCCTCTTTCATGGTACCATTTCTCTTCATTCAAATCAAGTTCATGGTAGGTTTGGAACAATGACATCAAGGTGTTAACACTTCCTTCTTCTTTAAAAAATTGTTCACGGGCCTGGTTATTCTTTGCTGTTAAATTACCAAGAATAAAGATGATACGGATAACCAAGTCCTGCAAGAAAGTAAACAAACAGTATTCAAATAAAAAAAAAATCAGAAGCTATCAGCTGCTTAAATAGAAGGCAATAATTTGTTTCAGAATTTATCTAATAGCAGGTCCCAAAACACAGAAACAATGCCAAATACAACAAATAGAAGACAACTGTTATGCTACTATCTTTCATAAATCAGTTTACAGAAGAAAATTTTATAAAGCATCTCACAGATCTACCACAGCATTGAGGTCACTAATCAATAATGGAATATGCTTTGTAACCTGTTTTTAATAAGTCCATAGTAATTTTAAAACATCATTTTATAGCCCAGAATAATCCTATGAGCTAGATCTTACTAATCTTACAAGCAAGCAAATGTCTGCTATATGGCCAAAGACTGCTAACTTCCCTTCTTCTCTAGGTCTGCTACCCATTGCAGAGGTTGAACTACTTGACCTTACTCTGCTACTGTTAAATCCATATCATTCCCTTGTTAATTTCAATTGTCTAGAGATTGCTGAATTACTTGTTCCAGAATTTTACCAAAAATATGACCAGTCTGTTGTTCTCCAATTCCCCCTTTCTTCTTTTCCAGAGAGGTGTCCTATGGCCTTGTCATCCCACATAACTTCTCAGGAACTCGAGACATTACCCCTTTCTGCCCTCTTGTAAGCACCAGAAAGTAAATTTCTTGAGGTCCACCTGGTCTGAAGACACTTAAATACACTCTAGCTCATTATTCAGTGATAAAAGAACTCAGGCTGGAATAGAGATTAATAATTTGATCATACTTAGATCTTTTAGAAAAAGAAAAGAAAAAAAGAGCATTCCATGCTTCACTACTTAATGTCATCTGCCAGTAATTCTCATCTTATCTTCTGAACACAGAAGCAATTACTTCCTTATTGTCTTCTTGCAATTAATATTCTATAGTAAGTTCTTGTGCTTCTTGTTATGTCCCCTTCTAGATGCTTCTCATCTTGTGCTAGTTTATTCTGATTTTGATTTTAAATGTTCTTGCCACCCTCTTATTTTTATCATCGCTAAATGAGACCTACTTTCTGTTTTTAGATAGTATCTCGAGATCTCATGATTTAACCAAATTGGTCTCTTAAAGCACTTCCTATCCTTGCCCTTGAGTGGGATACTGAATTGCATCTCTTTCTGCTTCATTTTGGACAGACAGAGCTACAGCTATTTTTCTGCAAAATGAGTGGATCTTAATTCAGTGCTATTCAACACTCCCCCATCTCTTTCTGACCCACCTGTATGGGAGAAGAAAAAAAGATTCTGAAAATCTGAACTAAGCCAGGTACAAACTAACTAAAACATCTAAAACATATTATTCAAAACCTGCTTATTTTTAAAGAGTTCATAGCTGTATCAACACAGGTAAAAGAACAGCATTTCTTCAGATATAGTGCAGCCAGCATTTTATACCTGTTAGACTGCTGTGCTTGCATTAACCCAGTATTTTGATCATTTTCCTCAGATGCAATAGCTATAATCACAGACATTCTAACCCTTGATGGTATTAATAATACAAGTTAACCAGACACACTCCAACTGAAGTAGACTTAAGGAAAAAAAGATGTGTAAGCAGCAGTCCTTTTTTCACATATGCCCTCATGAGCAAATTTCAGGTCCCAAGCCCCTGCCACAGAAGCTGACAAGAACATCAACCTAAGGTAAAGACAAATGCTATTCAAGAGGCAGGCAGTTTCCTAATGGAGACGTGAGCTCTCTTCCCCTCTCTGTATAATATGACCACTCTGCAGGACCCACTTCCACTCTTTTTTTTTTTTCCTCTAAACCAGGCATCATATTTTTGCTAGCTTCTAAATGTCATTGAGACAAAATTTTTCTGCACGTTCTTCCTGACTAACCACTAAGAGCTTTCACCTTTGCTGGCACAGCCCCCATTTCACAAAGGCTGTAAGAATTTGAAACAAACAACAGATGAATCAGAAGAGAGAACTGAAAAAAAAGCAGGCAGTCTCGTTTGACTCGTTTATATTGACTTTCTAATTTTGGTCAAAACAGTATCAGCCCAGCAACAGCCCTACCCAATCAGCAAACAGACAAACAGGTATAGTACAGCAATCCACCGATATTTTGAGAAGTGTGATCTCAACTGTTCTTTCCACCTACAGGCTAGCAAAACAAACTTCTAGAATATAACTTCTTTCTAGCCAAGCACATCTGGTTTTAATAGCATATTACTGAACTTTCCTTATCTTCCAGTGACAATTTAACTAGAACAAAGGGAAAAGCACATACAACTTATCTCAAGTAACATAAGGCTTTAAGGTTCATACTGCTTTTTGCCCTTTGTGTTTAAAATGCTCTTAGGGTAAGAGTTGCTAACACCAGCTTAGGTTTGCTCTGTAAAGAAATGCACGTAAAAATGAATGGCATTTTGAAACTGCTTGCAAGACGAAGCCTGTAGAAGGCCCAGGGGACTTTCTGTACACAGTGAAAAAAAAATCAGTATAATAAATAAAGTTATTACGTATCTCTAAATGTTTGGAGTATTAGCTGCATATGGAACTTCAGACTCTTGGACATTTGCAGAAAAATTACATAGCAGTCATTTCACAGAATCATAGAATCGCCAAGAGTTGGAAAAGACCTCCAAGATCATCTAGTCCAACTGTCCACCTACCACCAATGTTTCTGCACTAAACCACGTCCTTCAGTACAACATCTAAACATTTACTGAACACCTCCAGTGACTATAAATCCACCACTTCCCTGTGCAGCCCATTTCAGCACCTTGGCACTCTTTCAGAGAATAAATTTTTCTAAATATCCAGCTTGAACTTCCCCTGGAACAACTTGAGGTCATTCCCTCTAATCCCATGGCTGGTTATGCAGGAGAAGAGAATGAGCTTACCTCACCACAACCTCCTGTCAGGGAGTTGTAGAGATTGATAAGGTCTCCCCTGAGCCTCTCCAGACTGAACAATCCCAATTCCTTCAGCTGCTCCTCGTAAGGCTTGTGCTCCAGACCCCTCACCAGCTTCACTGCCCTTCCCTGGACATGCTTCAGGGCCTCAATGTCTTTCCTGTAGTGAGAGGCCCAAAACTGAACACAGAATTTGAGGTGTGGCCTCAACAGTGCTGAGTAAAGGGGGACAATCACTTCCCTGCTCCTTCTGGCAACACTATTTCTGATACAAGACAGGAATGCCATTGGCCTTCTGGGCCATCAGGGCACACTGCTGGCTCACATTCAACTGAGTGTCAACCAACACTCCCAGGTCCATTTTCTCCACAGTCTTCCAGTGCTCTGCCCCAAGCCAGTAGCATTGCCTGAGGTTGTTGTGGACAAAGTGCAGGACCCAGCATTTGGTCTTGTTGATCCTCATCCCGTTGGCCTCAGCGCAGCTATCCAGCCTGTCCACATCCCTTTGAAGGGCATTTCTACCCTCAGATATATCAACACTTTTTCTCAACTTGGTGTCACCTGCAAACTTACAGAGGGTGCACTCAGTCCCCTCATCCAGATCATCAGTGAAGATATTAAACAGGACAGGCCCCAGTATAGGTCCCTGGGGAACTCTGCTTGTGACCAGTTACCAGCTGAATTTAACACCATCCACCAACCTCTCCCTCACCCACCAGATGAGCCATTAGATCATAGAAAAAGATCAGGTTGTTTGAGCAGGACCTGCCTTTTATTAACCCATGCTGGCCAGGCCTGATCCCCCAGCTGTCCTGCACATGCCTTGTGATCGCACTCAAGATGATCTGCTCCATAACCTTTCCTAGCACCAAGGTCAGGCTGACAGGCCTGTAGTTCCCCAGATCCTCCTTATGACCCTTCTTGTAGGTGGGAGCCAAACTGGCAGGCCTTCAACCCTTTGAGATCTCTCAAGTTGAACAGAAACACTGATAGATGGTGGAAAGCAGTTTGGTAATCACCTCTGCTAGCTCCCTCAGCTCCTTCACATGCATCCCATCTGACTCCAAGGACTTGTGACAGTCCAGGTGTAGCAGTAGCTCTCTGTTTCCACATGAATTGTGGGGGGTTTATTCTGCACCAGACTTCCAGGTCAGGGGGTAAAGTACCCTAAGAATAATTGGTCTGGCTTTTAAAGACAGACATAAAGAAGACACTGAGAACCTTAGCTTTTTCCTTATTCTCAGAGATCACATTCCTCATTGTATGCAGTAAAGAATGGAGATTCTCCTTAGCCTATCTCTTACTGTTAAAATATTCATAAAGAAGTTTTTTGTTCTCTTTTATCCCAATGACCAGATTGAGTTAAAGCTGGGCTTTTGCCTTTCTGATTTTTTCCCTGCATATCCTAACAAAATCTCTGTATTCTCCCTAAGTTGCCCATCCCTTCTTCCATAGGAAGGAGACTCTCTTTTTCTCCCAGAGCCTCAGAAAAAAATTCCCTGTTGATCCACGCTGATTTTCATTCCCATTGGCTCATCTTACAGCATTTGTTTATTTATTACATTCATTTATATAATATATAGGTTTTAGTACGTATGGCATGAAAGGCAAATTACAGGTGAGAATCATACTCAGTTACTTCATCTTCTTATTTAGAGGCATTCATGTGAGATGCACTGCTCATAGAGGGACCCAAACTTGATGGGAAAGATATACATAAAACCACACAGCTTCACTTGGAAAAAACAACTCTGAAGAAACATGTCAAGAAGAGCTCCAGAAGGAGAAATGTTTTTCTTTTCTTCTCATCTATCAAGAATCTGTAATATTTTCATACTTAAAGGCACCGCTTACTCCATCAACATCAAACTCTTAGTTTTCTGACATCTGGAGTCATACAGTTTTATTACTAGTATTACGATTTCTTTATTTCTCTAACTCTAAAAATCTATTCCTTGTACTGTGCTAATACCAAAGGTACTCAGTGTACCTGCTGAATCACAGAACTTGACAGCAGTTTATCTGAGCAATTAAAATGTATCTGCTTTTCCACGTATATCATGATGAACAAACCTACAAATAGCACAGGTTTGCTAATGAGTAAGAAAG